GCGGAGACGACGGCTGCAACGGCGGCGGCGGTGGAGACGACGGCTGCAGCAGCTGCGGCGACGGCGGCTGCGGAGGCGGTGGAGGAGGAGACACCGAGGGAGGGACAGACGGCGAGGACTGCGCCGGAGGACTACCAGAGTCAGAAGACTCGTCGACCGGGACGACCGACGGGAGGGGGGTGACGTGAGACACACCAGAGGGGGCCGGACGGGGGGCGGGGGGGGGGAGGGGCAGGGACCACCAGGGAGGGAGGAACCAGGAAAAGGGGGGGAGTAACCGGGGGACCACGGTGGGGAAAGCGGTGGTAGAAGGAGACGGACTCGTCAAAGGTGACGTCGCGAGAGTGAAAGAAGCGGTGAGACGGCGGGTGGTAGAAGTGCCAGTCGGACGCGTCAAGGGGGAAACCGAGGAAGACGCAGGGGAGGGTGCGGGCAGTGAGCTTGTCCGTGCCAGAGGCACGAACGTGAGCAAGGCAGCCCCAGACGCGGAACGCAGACGCGTCACCAGGGGACCCGGTCCACAGAAGGGTCGGCGAAACCTGGGGCCGCTGGTGGTGCGGCCACAGGTTAAGCTGGTGAGCGGCGTAGCGCACGGCGAACGGCCACAGAAAATGGGGTGCACCGGCGTGGATCATGGAGGTGCGAGCCACCTCCATGACCAAACCGATGCGTCGCTCAGCGACCCCATTCTGCTGCGGTGAGTCCGGCAGGGTAAACGTCTGGGTGATGCCCTCCGCACGACAGAAGCGACCAAGGACACCTGAGGCAAACTCGCCACCCCGGTCGGAGTGAAGGCGCAAGGCAGGGAGACCGCGGTGGACACGAGCAGAGACAAGCCAGGGGATGAGAACGTCAGGCACGTCGGCCTTCCGCTCCAGGGGGAAGACGGTGGTGTAGCGCGTGAAGTCGTCGACAAGCACTAGGAAGAAGCGCTCGCGACGCGGCCCATGGACCGGGGCTGGGCCCCAGACGTCCATGTGCAGAGTCTGCAGTGGTGCGGTGGTAGGGGGAAAAGAGGAGGAGTGAGGGGCACGGCGGAGCCGGCCCTCGACACAAGGCGTGCACGGTGGGGCGGGGGAGGAGGGAAACTCGGGGAACGAACCGGGGAGACCAAGGACGAGACCGTGATGGGACATGTGACGCAGACGTGGGAGTGCAGGGTGACCAAGGCGGTGGTGCCAAAGGAGAGTCGGGTGAGTGAGGGACCGACAGGAGCACGCGGCTGCAACCTGGGTGGACGCAGCTACCGGGGGGGAAGACCCAGCCGGGGACGGCGCGGTGTCAAGTGTGAACAGGCCGGACACCGGGTCCCGGGGGAAAGTGGTAAGGGGGGCACCAGTGGCGGCCTCGGTACAGACAGCAGACTGCTCGTGACCAGGGAACGTAGTGGTGACGCCAAGGTCCTGGAGGCAGCCGACACCAACTAGGTTCCTGGAGAACGAGGGGATATGCAGACCTGTGAGAGTGCCCGAAGGAACCGCCGGACAGGGAAGGGAGGTGGAACTGCGGGCAACGACGGGACCACCGGAGGGGTCAGCAAGAGTAACTGCAGCGGGAACAGGCAGCGGCGTCAGCGTCGTGGAGTCGCGGAAGAAACACCGGGAGGCGCCAGACTCCAAGGTGAAGGAAAGCGCAGCAGTCGCGCGAGGCAGCAGTGAAGCGGTGGAAGCACCAAGGCTAAGCAAAGCAGGAGATCCTACGCCTGACGCAGCAGGGGAGTCTACGCTAGGCACCGCTACACTAGGCAACACGGGGTAATAAGAGGGAAGCACACTAGAGTCATCAGCATACATCACATGCAAGGCCGCTACAATGGCATCCATGTCCAAGTCAAAAATCCTAATGCTACGCCTAAGCAAGCTGTGCCAGTCCGGGAGGTCGGGCGCCGGGCCAAAGCGCTGGCGGAACAGGTCGTCCAGGCGACGAAAACAGCGAGGAGTAGAATGACCGATCTTACCGCAAACGAAGCCGCGGCGAGGACCGGTCTGGATCTGGTACTGACAGGGCCCGCCTCCAGAACCACCACCCGGTGCACCACCACGCGCACGACCACCACCAGCTCCAGGCCACCCAGGTGGGAGAGTACTCGCCTGCCTCGTCTGCGGCGGCTGCTGCGGCTGCTGCGAAGGCTGCGGCTGCGGCGACTGCTGCTGCTGCGGCTGCTGCAACTGTGGAGGCAGCGGGGCAGCTGGACCGGGCAGGGTCCCCACGTCCGCACCGGCACCGGACGACCCGCCTCCACCACTACCCCCACCCGCACCCCCGCCGCCTCCGCCGCTCCCAACCTTGGGGCGACGGCCCTTCGCCGAGCGGGACTGCACTGCAGCAGCAGTCTCAGCCACAGCGACAGAGCCGTCGGAGAAGGTACACTGAGCGGGGGCACAACCCTGAAAGATAGGGACCGGTACTGTACCGCTCGCCAGGGCTATGGAGCGGTGACGAGTCTCTATGGCAGCCAGGGTGTCAACAAAGTCGGTGAGGGTGAGAGCAGCAGGGTGGATGCTAAGGAACTGGTCGCGGGCAGCGGCAAGGCGGTCAGGTAGGCGGGTGGCAAGGAGGTAGAGGGTAGAGGTCATGGGAGGCTGGTGGACTCTAAGCTGAGCATCAGTGCAGGCAGCGCGCCAGGCCTCATCTATCGAGCGCAGGTGGGCAGCCAGGTCAGAGACAGTGGGGAAAGACGCCAGGTCAGGAAAGAGCAGGGGAAGGATCAGGCGACCCACTGAGGCAGCAGGAGGGGTAGAATAGCGCTTGATGACAGCATCGAGGTAGGCCTGGGCGGTAGGAATGGTTCTAAAGCGAGGGCGCTCAGTGGGGGGGAGGGCATTGCTAATGGCGAGCTGAGCAAGGGCATCGCGGGAAAGCCAGACAGAGCGGGCAAGGGCAGCAGCGGCAGTGGACTCGCGCTCAGCGGGCGTGGGATCAGCGGGCAGCACAGCAGGGGGGTCAGGGCAGGGGAGCATACCGTCTAGGTGTGCAGAAAGCGGGTGGCCGTCCTGCCGCTGGCCAGTGAGGTGGCGGCGAAGGTCAGCCAACCACGCCTCGAACTCCAGAGGCTGACCCTCAACATCAAAACGAAGCTCAGCAGCCATGAGGGGCAGTGGAGGACAGTGCAGTGCGGTGCAGTGCGATGCAGTGCGGTGCAGTGCGGTCCAGTGCGGTGCAGTGCGATGCAGTGCGGTGCAGTGCGGTCCAGTGCGGTGCAGTGCGATGCAGTGCGGTGCAGTGCGGTCCAGTGCGGTGCAGTGCGGTCAGTGCTATCCAGTGAGGTGCAATGCGATGCAAGGCGGGGCAGGAAAGTGCAGGAGGGTGCAAAGTGGTGCGGGGAACGGGGGACAGTACCAGGAAGTATGGAGGGCCGGGGCAGGTGCGTCGGGGCCGGGCAGGCACGACAAGGCCGGGCGGCGGCGACGGGGCCGGGCGGCGGCGACGGGGCCGGGCGGCAGCGACAAGGCCGGGCGGCTGCGACGTGGCCGGGCGGCTGCGACGGGGCCGGGCGGCTGCGACGGGGCCGGGCGGCAGGGACGAGGCCGGGCCGGACACAGCAGGGCCGGGCAGGGGCGACGGGGCCGGGCGGTTGCGACGTGGCCGGGCGGCTGCGACGTGGCCGGGCGGCTGCGACGGGGCCGGGCGGCTGCGACGGGGCCGGGCGGCGGCGACGGGGCCGGGCGGCAGGGACGGGGCCCGGGCAGGCCACAGCAGGGCCGGGCAGGGGCGACGGGGCCGGGCGGGCGAGCAGGGGCCGGGCAGGTGCGACAGGGGCCGGGCGGGCGCCACGCGGCCGATAGGCCGCGACGGGGCCGAGCAGGGGCGACGTGGCCGAGCAGGGGCGACGGGGCCGAGCAGGGGCGACGGGGATGGGTAGGGGCGCGACGGGGCCTGGAGGGGCGTTACCAAGCCCAGGTAGGGGCGCGACGGGGCCTGGGGGGAGCGCAATGGGGCCCAGGAGGGGCGCTACGGGGCCTGGGAGGAGCGCGACTGGGCTAGGGAGGGGCGCGACGGGGCCTGGAAGGAGCGCAATGGGGCCCAGGAGGGGCGCTACGGGGCCTGGGAGGAGCGCGACAGGGCCCTGGAGGGGCGCTACCAGGCCCTGGAAGGGGCGCGACGGGGCCTGGAGGGGCGCTACGAAGCCCTGAAAGGGGCGCGACGGGGCCTGGAGGGGCGCTACGAAGCCCTGGAAGGGGCGCGACGGGGCCTGGGAGGAGCGCAATGGGGCCCAGGAGGGGCGCTACGAGGCCTGGGAGGAGCGCGACGGGGCCCAGAAAGGGGCGCAACGGGGCCCAGGAAGGGGCGCGACGGGGCTAGGGAGGGTCGCGACGGGGCTAGGAGCACGACGGGGCCCAGCTAGGGGGCGAGCGGAAGCGTGAGGGGGGGGGGGGGGGGGGGGGGGGGGATCCTACCTACGCGTGATACCATATCAAACAGTGAAAATTAATGAATAGAGAGAGAGAGTACACAAACATATACCTAACTGTTGTACTCTCTAGAAGATGACCCTATACAGTCTATACAAGCATGATAACTAAACATGTTTGACAATAGGAACTCCAGAGCTAGTCTAACCATGAGATGGGAAGGTTCGGGAAGGAGATCGAAGGGTCTCGAAGTGACGAAGCGAGGCCCGGAGAACTCCCGAAGATCGAACTAGGTATGGAGAAGCCGAGGCGGTTATGTCAGAAAGGTCTGGAACCGTCCCGAGGCTTCGGGTGTGTTCGAGCGTACGCGATAGCAGTACCGCTGGGTAAGGAATAGAAAATTCCTTACAGTGGCCCTTGGCTTAGCCTTCGCAGAGCAAGACTTTGCTGCCTTGAATGAAATCCAGTTGAGCACTTAAGGTATATGTGATGTGATGTATGTGAAGCCTACTGTATGTGGTGTATAAATTCTGAGGAAACAGTATCAAACTCCGACGTTGCGTTACCCGCTGAGCTGTCACGAAATATTTCGAAATCCCCAATGTTCCTAGCAGTAGGGGCTAATGTGCTGATGCTCGAGTATCTGTACCTCCCCTTCCCTTCAGCTCCGCTGTACTTCCCAGTTGACGAAACTGCGAATGCCGCGTTACAGAACCACCATTACGTAGCCGTTTCTTTCCGCGTTGCGCTCGACTATTTAGTTTAGGTCTACCTCTCCATCTTCCCGCTTCGGCGTGGCTGCGCGCCGTCGAAGCCAGCCATGGCTGCTAACGACTCAAGGGACTCTACCAACGCCGAAGCCATGGCTGCCGCGGAAACCGCGATCTGCGATCACTGGTACAGTTTCTCGAGTCGGTAAACGAGGCTGCGTACACTCGTCGCCGGTCCATCCCACGCTGTCGTTATTCGTCCGTGTCGTCCGTTGCAATCTCGTGCTTGTTGGTACTGTTTACAGCGGATTTCCAGGCGCCTCATCCCTGTGCTCTTCCCTTTCCCCCCTTCCCCTCCCCCCTCCCCCCTCCCCCCCCCTTCTCTCCCCCCCCCCTCCTCTCCCCCCCGCCACAGCGCTCGGCCCATCCCCGTGGCCAACCTGCCGTTGCACATGGCGCACTGCGAGACTCGGCTCGTGCGGTGCGACGGCTGCGATGAGATGGTGGCGACTGCAGCCATGGACCAGCACGTGGCAGCCGTGCACGCCCCTGTGAGTTCTGGCAGTAGATGCAGTAGGTGCACTCGATGCAGTAGATGCACTCGATGCAGTAGATGCACTCGATGCAGTAGGTGCACTCGATGCAGTAGATGCACTCGATGCAGTAGGTGCACTCGATGCAGTAGATGCACTCGATGCAGTAGATGCACTCGATGCAGTAGATGCACTCGATGCAGTAGATGCACTCGATGCAGTAGATGCACTCGATGCAGTAGATGCACTCGATGCAGTAGATGCACTCGATGCAGTAGATGCACTGGGTGCGCTTAGCCCTTACTGTGCCTGCCAAGATGAGATGGTGGCGACTGCAGCCATGGACTAGCGCGTGGCGGCGGTGCACGGCACAGTGAGTGCTGGCACTTAGCCATAGATGCTCTTGGGTCATGTCACTCACACACGTGGCAACCAACACGTGGCACGTACGTGGCAACTGTGCATGCTGCTGTGAGTGAGTGCTGCGACTTAGCTAGATGCTCCAGCGAGTGCCAACACATCAGCTTAACGGACTTACGTATAACGTTTCGTAACGCACGTGAAACATTCTCACGTATGTCTACCTCTTTCCTCCTCATCTCCCCTCTCCTCTCATCTCCTCTTCACCTCCCTTTTCACCCCCATCATCCCACCTCCCTTCACCCATCCCTTCTCACCTCCCTTCTCACCTCCCTTCTCACCTCCCTTCTCACCTCCCTGTTCTCTCCGTGGCGAGGTCATGGAGCAGCGCCTCCTGCCAGCACACGAAACATCACCTTGCTCCTTTCCCTCTCCTCCCCTCTCCTCCCCTCTCCTCCCTTGTCTCAGGCCCTCTGTTCGCTCTGTGGCGAGGTCATGGAGCACCATCTACTGCCAGCACACGAAACATCACTTTGCTTCTTTCTCTCTCCTCCGCTCTCCCCCCCTCTCCTCCCCTCCCCGCTCCTTTCTTGTCTCAGGCCCCCTGTTCGCTCTGTGGCGAGGTCATGGAGCACCGCCTCCTGCCAGCACACGAGGCATCATCCTGCGCCCTGCGACCGCTCATCTGCCCCTTCTGCGACCTCCCTGTCACCGCCATGGACTTCACTCCCCATACCGTAAGCCCTAAGCATGGTTTTGCTGTTTACACAGCTAATAAGTAGGGATGACTCTAAGTAGGGATGACTCTAGGAGGGATGACTTTAAGTAGGGATGGCTCCCCCCCCCCCTGTCAGCTCTCTGCCCCTTCTGCGACCTCCCTGTCACCACCATGGACTTTACTCCCTGCATGGTTATGTTATGTGTTCTGCTAATATGGACGACTCTAAGTAGGGATGACTCCCCCCAACTGTCAGCTCTCTGCCCCTTCTGCGACCTCCCTGTCCCCACCATAGACTTCACTCCCCATACGGTAAGCCCTAAGCCTCTCTGCATGGCCATTCATTCTGAGCCAGCTTAACGATAGGCCTCACTTTTGCCCCTGCTGTGACCTCCCTGTCACGGCCGTCGGCTCCTTCCCCACGCCATAAGCCCGGTGCAACCTGTGTTATCAAGGCGGTTGTAAACCAGTCCTCATGCCTCGAACTGTAAGCCACCGCCTGCATTGTTTCACGCTTAAATCCACTGGAATCGTCCACCAGGCAATAATGTGTACTCTCTCCTTCCTTCCTTCCTTTCTCACACGCCTGCAGGACGTGTGTGGCAGCCGCACGGATAAGTGCGACATCTGCAGCAAGTACGTGCTAAAGAGAGACCAGCCAGAGCACCACAAGGAGCACCAACAACCACTTGACTCGGCCTCGACCGGGGCCAGCACATCTGGTCCCACTAGCCTAAATCAGCCACGTGATGCTAGTGGGCATTCTGGGGGTATAGGAGGGTACTGGCATCTGCTCGTGCCTGTAGGGGTTGTGGTGGTGGGCGTAGCGTTGGCTCTCGGTGTGCAGAAGAGAAACAAGCGATAGGATTACTGTACCCACGTATTCCTGAATAGGTATGTACTGGTATGTCTATGAGCATGAGTTCTAGGTAGAAAGAGAGGTGTCGTAGGAGGGAAGTTGGAAAAACGAGTGACAACTTGTAAGCAGCCAAGGAGTAAAAAGAAGCCCCAACAGAAAACATAATGTATTTGAATTGAAGATTTTTAACTGAACGCCTTGCGGTGTGCACCCAACAGAAAGCACGTGTCCCCGTTTCAGAACCACCACTACAGCAATGCTGTGTGCCCCTTCCCTTCCATTCTGAAACGAGGCTCTCTCGTCTCGGACGGACCACCCGCCCACCCATAACCATATCCCTGGCCGACTTTCCCCTTCGTAGTTTCAAAGCCGCGAGCGAGTCTCTCTGGTTTCGCGAGTGCATGTGAGCCAACGGGACAACGACTCACCGCCATGGAGGCGGTTTTGCGGCACTCGCTTGTCCCCGCGCAGCAGGCGTGCTGCGGTCCAGCGTGGCGACCACTGTCTGTGCTTCGGGGCGGCGCCGCTAACAGCTGCGACAGGGAATTCGCGAAACCTTCGTCCGGTTTGAGTTCGGCTCACAGCTTTTCGCAAAGTCTGCGAAAAACTGCAGCTGCATTGACGAGGAAACGAGAAAACAGTCGTTGGAACCGCAGCGGCTCGGACAGACGGGCTCTCCAAAAAACGACTGTACTGGCGAGTAATAACGGGGATAATAATAGCGGAGATGCAAGCTATAGCAGCAACAATGGCGGTAGCGATGGCAGGAGCGACGGCAGCAGCGCAAGCAGCGGCAAGCAAACGCTTCCCCCCTCCTCCGGACATCCCACCTCCCCCCCATCGCTTGAAAGCGCATCATTTGGAAGCACCCCGGAAGCTTCATTTCTAGGGCCTATCCGAGAAATGCTGCGGAGGAACAAGGCGAAGACGGCCCAGTGAGTCGCGCCCGGTGAGAAGATTCGCGGAAGCTTGGTTGTTTCCTTTCCAGGAACGGGAGTTCTGTTTTCCCCCAGACAGGTCGCTCGTCTGGTAAGAAGAAGAAGAAGATACGGAGAATTGCACCCTGAGAACTACTCAGGTCACCCTGAGTAGCTACATTGCAGTCTCTATTTTCATCCATATATCGATTGACTTCCCTCTGGCCGTTCCTCAGGTTGTTTTGAGGCGCCTCAAAAACCGCGTGATAGAAGTCTAGTTTTGAGGCGCCTCAAAAACTGCGTGATAGAAGTCTAGTTTTGAGGCGCCTCAAGAATATTTTCATCCATATATCGATTGACGTCCCTCTGGCCGTTCCTCAGGGTGTTGGGAAAGCTGCAGTCGTTTGGCATGGCTGGCGTGCTCTCTTATGGCCTCTTCAACACCGTCTACTACATCTTCGCCTTCCTCTTCGTCTTGTGAGTCTTGAGGGGTCTCAGAAGTAGACTACTATCACCTGTCGTGCTCATTTGAGACGGCTCAAGACTAGATTATTATCACCTGGCGTGCTCTCCTACAGCATCTTCAACTCCTCCTGCTACATCTTCGCCTTCCTCTTCGTCTTGTAAGTCGGACATATGATCTTACATCCTTTGACGTCTCGCCCTCTGCCCATTCTCCGCTCCACCCCACCTCTGCACTCCCCCCATCTTCACTGGCAAACATCTAGCTCGCCCCTCTCCCCATCGCCACTGCGACCCCCCACGCGTCTTTCTCTGCTTTTGAGTCGACTCAAAAGTCATCTCGTTTCGAGTCAACTCAAAAGCTTCCTCTCGCACCCCCTCCCACCTCCCTTTTTGAGTCGACTCAAAAGCGACTCAAATGCAACTCAAAAGCGGCTCTAACATCGACTCATTAAAAGCTTCCTCTCGCACCCCCTCCCACCTCCCTCGCCACCAGCAATCATCTAGATCACCCCGTCCCCCACCCCCCACCGCGCCCCCCTCTCTATCTCTGCATGTGTGCATGTGCATGTGAGTGCATGTGCGGGCATGTGAGTGCATGTGAGTGCATGTGTGTGCATGTGAGTGCATGTGAGTGCATGTGAGTGCATGTGAGTGCATGTGCGGGCATGTGAGTGCATGTGAGTGCATGTGAGTGCATGTGAGTGCATGTGCGGGCATGTGAGTGCATGTGAGTGCATGTGCGGGCATGTGAGTGCATGTCTGTGCATGTGAGTGCATGTGTGTGCATGTGAGTGCATGTGAGTGCACGTGAGTGCATGTGAGTGCATGTGTGCGCATGTGAGTGCATGTGAGTGCATGTGTGTGCATGTGAGTGCATGTGAGTGCATGTGAGTGCATGTGTGTGCATGTGTGTGCATGTGAGTGCATGTGTGTGCATGTTTGTGCATGTGTGTGCATGCCAGTGCACATGAGTGGATGCGTGTCCACGTGTGTCAATGTGAGTGCATGCGAGTGCATGTGCGTGGATGTGTGTGCATGTGTGCGCATGTGAGTGCATGTGAGTGCATGTGTGTGTGTGTGTGTGCGTGCCCGTGTGCAGCCTGTATGTATCCCCCTCGCCGCGTGGCCTTGGCTTTGCAGCAGCAGCTAAGAAGTGAGTGGCTTGACTGGCAGGCATGGCATGGGTGGGGGAAGAAGGGGGAGGGGGGAGAGGGGGAGGGTGGGGGGAGGCGGACTTGAAGGTTGGGGGGAGTTGGCGCTAGGGGTGGAGGAAAGGGGGTGCATGCGCGGGAGTGTGCGAGGGAGTGTGTGAGGGAGTGGGAGGGAAAGTCTGTGAAGAGGTCTTTCTCAAGAGAGCCAGCAACCCAACACAGGGTAGTGTTTGGGGTACTGTGTGGAAGTGGGGATGAGGTTGCGAGAGAGAGGCAGCGTTTGTAATTTTCTCCACTCTCCAATCACCACCTTCTTCCAGCTTTTTTTCCTTTCCCCATCAACCCCCACCCAGCCCCAATCGTCCCCCCCCTTTCCTCCCTGCCTCTTTCCCTTCCCCTTCCCCCACAGCTTTCTCAAGGTCTTTGCCATGGTGTGGGCTGGCAGTCAGGTCACCAAGCTAGTCCGAGCTGGGGGGTAAGTCGAGTTGCGGTCGCATGTGCTAATAATCTTCTTACTGCCAATCCTTACTCTACTGTGCTAATCCTCTGAAAGGCGTTACTGACGACGGGCTTGTGCTGGAATGTTGTGGTGACAATGGGGGGGGGGGCCTTCTGGCGAAGCTGCTGTTTAGGGTTACAAGTCCTCATCGATGCTGACCTGTTAACATCTCCACTGCCGAAAGCTTCGTGTCAGAGCGTGACACACACGCAGAGTACCGTAACCGACGTCTTTCTCTCCCCTCCCTCCCACCTGGTTTTTTGTCCCTTATACTTCTTGCAGAGCAAAATGATGGCTCCGTGTTTGGAAAAGGCCCTCAACATGCTTTCATCATGCTCCGGACGATTTTTTAGGCACCTCAATAATCCGGTTTTTGTCCTTTTACTCCTTGCTTGCAGAGCGCTGATGATGGCTCCGTTTATGGAAAAGGCCCTCAACATGCTTTCATCGTCCACCGGAGTTTTCAAGACCCGAGGGCAAGCGGTGGCAGCCATAGTGGCATTTTGTTTCAGCCTGGCTGGGGTGCTCTTCCTTGCGGTCACTGCCCTGTGGGCATGAGCATTCTTTGCACACCCGTTTACAGCAGTACAGTGGCTCTGCTGTGCTCTCTCTCTCTCTCTCTCTCTCTCTCTCTCTCTCTCTCTCTCTCTCTCACACACACACACACACGCACGCACGCACGCACGCACGCACGCACGCACGCACGCACGCACGCACGCACGCACACACGCACGCACGCACACACACACACACACACACACACACCAGTGTTCAAGCTCAGAGGCCAAGCAGCAGGGTGGCGTTCTGCTTTGGCCTGTCTGGGGTGCTATTCGTTGTAGTCCCTGCCGCACTGGTCAGGAACCATGACCATTCCTTGCTCACCTCTAAATATGGCCCTGCCTTGTGCTGAATATACTTCCATATTCGCTTAGTCGATCTTCCTGTTGGGGTTATGGTAGCCTTCTGCTTCAGCTGGCTAGCTAGGGTGCTCCAAACCTGCAGCCATGTGGGCTTAGAGCTCCAATATACGCTCCATTCTTTTGTTTGAGCAACATAACATGTAAATTATCTATCTATCGGTATTTACAATTTTACAGCTGTTTTGGGCATGGGTGACACACAGGCTGTTCAGTCAAACAGCAGACTGTTTGTACATGGAGGTATCTAGGACCTGCTTTCCACACATGGCACACACACCTGCGCGTGGGTGAGGAGGGAGCACCGCAAACAGGGAGCACCGAAAGAGGGTAAGGTGAGACTGCAATTGAAGTGAGACTGTTATTGAAGTGAGACTGCAATTGAAGTGAGAAATGTAAGGAGAGAAGAGGTATTGAACATACACCGCTTTATTCCCCCTCTCTTCAGGCACATTGAAGGAAGTGGCATTCACCTTTTTTATAAGAACACAGGTGGCAGTATTTTCCCTCCTGGTGTAGCTGCTGCTTGCATATGATGCATTTGAACGATGCAGACGACGAATAAGGGGTGTACCTGCTTGTAAAAAAGGGCCCAGGTGTGAACAGGGTGGAGGGGAAAGGATGGAGAGGGGGAGAGGGGGAGAGAGAGAGAGAGTGGCGAGGAACGTACGAGCAGAAGGGGAACACCACCCAGTACTCCTGTGTGAGGAGTCTATTATGGGGGCGCCTCAAGAAGTACAGAAGGAAAACACTAAGTCCTTTTGCTAGAACACCAAAAGCAAGCTGGCAGTGCAGTTTCTCAAGCTGGCAGTGCAGCTTCTCAAGCTTCCTCACCAGAAGGCGGCACTTGATCCGACTAAGAAAGACGGGGCAGGATAGTCCCTTTTCTTCTTCAACAGCACCTTATTCTCGTTGATCTTCCTCCATATTCAGTGAATTGAAGTGTACTTTCAGAGTGCAACGAAGTGTAGTTTCTCACTATAATGCAGCATACCTTTTCTTCTTCGACAGCATGTTCTCGTTGATCTTCCTCCATACTCAGTGAATTAAAGTGTAGTTTCAGAGTGCAACGAAGTGTAGCTTCTCACTATAACGCAGCATACCTTTTCTTCTTGGACAGCAGCTTGTTCTCGTTGATCTTCCTCCCTCCGCTCTCTGTGGTGTTGGATGCACCTTCCTTCCACTTGTCCGGCACTATCACCTTAGATAGCTTCTTCTGGCCTGCAGAAATGGGGAAAGCTTAGAAGGGATTAGTACTTAGAAGGGATTAGTAATCAGAAGGGATTAGTAATAAGAAGGGATTAGTAATTAGAAGGGATTAGTAATAAGAAGGGATTAGTAATTAGAAGGGATTAGTAATTAGAAGGGATTAGTAATTAGAAGCCACAACCGCCTTCCACTCCAGCATTACCACCTCTCCCCTTCTTCTCACCTGCCAGGACAGGGAGGAAAATCTTAAATCGGAATTCAATCTGCACCCTCCTTCCACTAGTCCGGTGCAATCACCTTGAATAGCTTCTTTGCACCCTGCCGGGATTGGGAGGAATAGCTGACGTGGAGCACGCAACGTTGCCTTCACGTGTCCGGCACTAGGTGACTTTTGAGTCGACTCAAAAGTCATGACGTGGAATCAGACTCTGCTTTCACGTGTCCGGCACTACCTCCTCACCTGCTAGAAATCAGAGTTGTTGGGATAGCAGGCTTGAAGCTAACAGAAGATGAGAGGACGGTTACTACGTAGAATTGCTGTACACGGGGCTTTTGAGTCGCCTCAAAATACAACTGGACGGTTACTACGTAGAATTGCTGTACACGGGGCCGGACCTCCAGATGTCGTAGCTTACATTTGTCGCACACCATGCTGCTTCCCCTGGAATAAGCTTCCCCGGAATACGCTTCCCTGGAAAAAGCTTTCGTGGAGCACGCAACCACGGAGAAGGAAATCAGGTTGAACGGTTTCCCGCTCGCTAGAAGAAGTTCGCGCTGTAGTACCACCTTGTTATCAGTGCTGCGTCTTCTCAGCTAAACGGTGGACGAACGAAGCGTGCAGTCCCTCTGGACACCTACAGTAGTACGTCGCGAAAGGAGTTAAAAATCCGGCCTGTAGGAAAACCGAGCACCAGACGAGAGTAGGACTGTGCGCAAAAAAGCAGTACCTAACACTAAAGTACCGGTAAATTTTGACGACTGCGTGTGGGGGTAAAGCGGCTAACAGATGACTGACGCAGCGTCACTTTCGGCGGGACTAACTCAGCTTGAACAGCAACTGGACTGACTATGCCTTAGGGGGTGTCCGAAGCAAAGAATTTGTGACGTCCCAAGACGGTTGGATAGAGTTATCTCTCGGTTCCGCGATGCCTATAACCTTACGCCGTACTTCGGATGCCCTAAAGAATCCTTTCTCCGCTACAAGCCCGTACTGCTACAAAAGTTTTCACTTTGTTGTGGATGGAAATGTGTTATCTCGTACAAAGACAGAACAACCCTTCGTACTGGGTATAAAAGTGCTGAACAATAAATCTAATAAACAACTAGATTGTGCACTTTACTTATGCACGGTATAAGTTATGCCTTCTAAATTTCACCGCAGCATCCCTAGATTTCACTTCGATGCCCCTCACAACAACACAACGATGGCGGAGATAGCGACCGCCACAGAAGGAACCAGCTGTCGTAAGCTCAGCGCAGAGACACCCGGCGCACCGCTCTTTGGGGGCGGAGGGGAGGGAGCAACTGGCGGAGGGGGGGAAGGCTGGACCGGCGGCGGGTCGGGCGACGAGCTCGGAGCTGACGCGGGCGCGGGGGTAGCGGACTCCAATTCCGCGAGTAACCGCCCGCTGCTGTCCGTCGCGGCGACAATAGAGAGATCACCGGCGGCGAGCGAGAGCGCTTCGTCGAGGAAAGGCGGCACGAGCAGCGCGTTGATGGTGTGAACCACGACCGTGCCCGCCGTGCCGCTCCCGCCGACCTCCAAGCCGCTTCTTTGCGCAAATTCCGCGTCCGCGCCTTCCCCCGACAGGGGCCCTTCGCCGAGGAGATCCAGAGAGAGCGTGAGCGCGCGGTACTGCTTCACGGTGGTTCCGCCCACCTGGAACGCGAGCGAGTCCACGTGGAGCGCGATCGGCGCGCCCTGCAGCGTCGCTTGCGCGCCCTCCCAGGCGAACGCGGAGACCGGCCGCGCGACCACGTGGAACAGCAGCACGTCGCGGAGCAGCGCGCCGTTGCGCGGAAGCTTGAGGAACGCGAGGAGCGCGGGGTCCGCGCGCATGAGCGCGTCGTTGGTCGGCGCGAACACGGTCATGGTGGAGCCGGTCCGCGCGCGCAGCTCGAGCTCCGGCATCAGCCCGGCGTGCCTGAGCAGGCTCGCGAAGCCCGTCAGTCCCGCCGACGAAAGCTCCTTTTCTAAGGGCGAGGCCATGCCAGAAGCGAACGCTTCCGATAAATCGGTCGTGGATTCGGCGGATGCGCAGATGGCTGTGGGTTGTGATGATGACAAGAGAAGGAGCAGGACGATCGGGAGCACGACGACTATTCCTGCTGCGCTTGTCATCGTCTGGTCGCGAGGAGAGAGACTAAACGTCCACGCGGTCGCGAGGAGAGAGACTAAACGTCCACGCGGCGCTGCGACCCGAACTTCGGATAAAAGATGTGGGCGGATTCCGAAACGGTGGCTGGCTGATCGACGCGCTGAGTTCAAGTTGTAAGCAAAGAGTCAGAGAGCAGAAGAAGGCACTATGCGGAGTAAGTTACTCGGAAGTGGAATTCAATGATGCAGCTTGTTGGGAGCAGCCACATTAAATACTTCGAAGTTCGGCGCCTGTTCGCTCCGCGATTGGCGGGGCTGCCTAAGCTGTATGCTGGGGGCAGGGCAGGAGGCTGTGTGCCACACGATCCAAACCTGCGTGCCACACGGATCATAGCTGCGTGTTTGGAGGCGCGCCAAAGCCATTCCTGGAAGGAACGCGGCTGGTCGGTCGGTTCCGAGGAATTGGGGGACGCAGTGACGGCGTAGAATTCGCTTGGTGGACAAGTCTGTCGGGTCGGATCACAGGTTCACAGCTCAGAGGACGCGAGTTATTCGGTGTGAGCGGGGGGAAAAGGGGAAAATGAAGGTATTCGGCAGGTCTTTGACTCCCGGGCATGGCACATGATCCCAGCGTTCGGTTGGGAGAAGCTTCCCGTTTAGCGTGTGAGAAGTACCGCAAAACATCTACAGAAAACTTTCAAGCTTCTTACGAAATGAGATGCGAGGCTGTTGAGCTTATACCGGGTTCCGAACCACATTCCCTGGTCCGAACTTTCCCGGTCCGAACCATATTTTCTCAGAACCAGCGAACCAGAAACGGCAACCCACGCATACGCGCTAATAGAGTTAGCGACTAGAACAGAATACCAGTACATCTGGAAACGTAAAGTGTACTCGTGAGGTGTGGGCGAATTCGCAAACTGCTTCGGTTCCGATCGGTGAATATCGGTTCCCGACGTGGGTACAACCAACACAACTTCCAACACCACGTGGGAACCTCACCTCGACCTCATTCGACAGCACAGCTAATTCACCTCTGCCTACAGCTGAGGCGGCTGAGCTGACGTGTCGCGCCTCCCGTGATCCACGCCGCCCGCATTGTCGAATCCACCTTGCCTTCAGCTTCGTTCCGCGCGCCGTCATTCCCGCCGCCATGTCCGCTCTCTGCTCCCCTCTCGCGCGACTATTCTCCCGCTCCTCATTCGCAGCTTATCGTAGTGCCCGCCGCGGCAGCATCCAAGCCCAATCACTCGACGCCACAATCCCCTGCGCGCCCTCGCTTTTGCGCCGCTCCAATTTAACCGCGCGCGCAGCACCCCCCTCAGCGGACTCTTCTCCCCGGGCTTGGAGCCACCTGGTGGCGCGTCTTCCGCGGCTGCAAAGCGCGCCGAGCCTTTCTTCAGCGCATCCGCGCAGGGAGGCGTCGGGCGTGGCGGTAGCGCGCGTGAGCTCTGCGGAGGAAAATGCGCCGCAGGAGCAGGCGGAGCGTGAGGCGGAGGTCGCGGGGAAGAGAGTGCGGCTCGGATTCATAGGTGCGAGCCAACTGTGCCCCGTGTCTTCTTCCGCCTCCTTGCCTCCTTTCAAAGCTCTGCCCCCTTTTTCCCCCACTCTGCGCCTCCCCCCCTGTGTGCTCCTTCCCCCACGCCTCCCCCTTCGCCCTCCCCAGGTAGGGGGCAGGTAGCCGCGTTCTGGGCCGCGTCCTCTGCGCTCCCCACCTCCCCCCACGCCCCCTCCCCCCCAACCCCGCCCAACCACCCCCCTTCACTTCCCCCCCCCCCCCCCCCCCCCCCCCCCCCCTCCGCCTTTTTCCCCCCAACACAAAAGGCGCGGGGCAGATGGCGGAGGCGGTGGCGCGGGGGCTGAGCGCGGCTGGCGTGGTGGAGTATGCTGACATGGCGGCTGCTGACGTCAGCAGCGACAGGCTGGCGGTGTTTCAGGGGATCGGCATCGACACCAAGGAGAGCGCCAAGGAGGCAAGTGGCATGGCGGGGAATGGGGAGGTAGATGGCATGGGGTGAGGGGGGAAATTGGGTGGGGGGAGCTCATCAGCAAAAGCATCCCCAACCGCCCTTTCCTCCCCTTTCCTCCCCTTTCCTCCCCTTTCCTCCCCTTTCCCCCGCACCCCCCACACCTCCTTTCCCATTCCTCCCCTTTCCCCCGCACCCCGCCCTTTCCCCCCCTTTCCTCCCCTTTACCGCGCACCCCCCACACCTCTCAAGCAGGTGGCAGCCAGCAGTGACGTCATCTTCATTGCAGTGAAGCCGTTCGCCGTACAGCCCGTGCTTGCTGACCTGGCAGCCTCGGGCGCGCTGACGGAGCGCCACCTCATCGTGTCGATCGCCGCGGGCGTGCCACTTGGCAAGATGCAGCAGTGGGTGGGGGAGGATGTGCGGATTGTCAGAGTCATGCCCAACACACCGTGCCTTGTCGGTGCCACTGCTGCTGGTAAGCGACGCGACGGTAGGCTTAAGCGAGCCTCCCTGTCAAAGCAAGATGCACCAGGGGGGGGGGGAGGGAGGGGGGGTGGGGGGGAGATGTGCGGATAGTGCGGGTCATGCCCAACACACCCTGTCTTGTTGGTGCCACCGCTGCTGGTAAGAGAGTGAAGGGTGCATATAGCAAGGTGCTTGTACACCCATCTCTTGTGGGTGGATGCCTATAGCAGGATGCAGCAGTGGGTGGGGGGGGAATGTGCGTGTCACGCCCAACCCACCGTGCCGTGTCGGCGCCGCTGCTGCTGGCAAGTTGCTGGGTCGTGCCTGCATGATCTGCCTTTCCGCACTCACCTCTCTTTTCCTCCCCGTCCCAACCATCCAGCCATGAGTCTGGGAGCGCGGGCAACAGAGGAGGACGGGGCGTTGGTGAAGGCCATGTTTGGAGCCGTGGGGGAGGTGTACGAGGTGGAGGAACGGCTCCTGGACGCCGTTACTGGACTCAGGTGATCTCAACAGAGGATCAGGCGATTGCAACAGTAGCTCAGGTGCATTGAATCGGCCTGCGCATGTTCCCTGCAGAATCTCAGATGTTCTGCAACATCCATCCAAGAGTCTGCACATGTTTGCTACATGTTTGCCGACTTGAATCCATCGCCCTCGTGCTTTTGAGTCGACTCAAAAGCGATTTGTCGCCTTTAACCCCCCTCGTGTCTCTAAATGTTTTCTCCTCCTCATCCTCCTCATCCTCCTCATCCTCCTCATCCTCCTCATCCTCCTCATCCTCCTCTCCTCCTCTCCTCGTACATACTTCCACCATTCCTCCTCCTGTCCCTTCGCAGTGCCAGCTGCCCAGCCTACATATTCACGGCAATTGAGACTCTGGCAGGTGGTGGTGACGAATCATCCTCCCCCCACTCACGCTTTCCTGTCCCCTGTCCTTCACGTCACCCGTCCTCATCAACCCCCCCCCCCCCCCTCTTCCTCACAGTGGTAGCGGCCCGGCCTACGTGTTTGTGGCGATCGAGGCTCTGGCAGACGGTGGTACGGCTGCTGGGCTTCCCAGGAAGGTGGCTCTGTCGCTCGCTGCACAGACGGTGAGTGGGGAGGCCCGTGCCCTGTAGAGGATAGGTATGGCTTAAGGAAGCAGCACTCAGCAGATGCCATGTTGCTCAGTCCACACAGCAAACGGTGGTACGGCCGATGGGCTTCCCAGTAAGGTGGCTCTGTCGCTCGCTGCACAGACGGTGAGTGGGGAGGCCCGTGCAATGACTTAATCGAGATGGCAGTGGCTGTCGCAATGGAAATGGCAGTGGCAGGTTTAGTTTGAGGCGCCTCAAAACTATGCTTTTTTGTCAAGCATTGCCAACAACTCTCCCCCTGGCAGGTGTATGGCGCAGCCAAGATGGTGATCGACACACAGAAGCACCCAGGGCAACTAAAAGACTCCGTCGCATCACCAGCAGGTATGCTGACGAGCGCCATTGGGCTGCTACTCATACCTATGCAGTTTCTGTACCACTGGCCAGCAGCTGCTCACTGGTTGGACTGCTCTGCTAGGCTGCTGTGAGTCGACTCAAAAGTCTCGACGGGCACGTGGTGGGCTGCTGCACATACCTGTGCAGTGTCTGTACCACTGGCCAGCAATTGCTCACTGGTTAGTCTACTCTGCTAGGCTGCTGTGCTCCCGCATGCGTCTGACACCTCAACGGAATATCTCACCCCGTGCCTTACCCATGTGTTCCCTTCACTGTGTTGCCACCAGCATTGCCGGCCTGCATGAGCTGGAGAAAGGCGGATTCCTTCCGATCCCTGCTTGTGAATTCTATGCTGCCTTGTGCTCTGCCCTGCTCTACTCCGACATTGCTCAGTGCCCTACCGCCGTACCCCCCTTGACATCTGTGCAGGCACCACCATCGCCGGCCTGCATGAGCTGGAGAAGGGCGGGTTCCGGTCGCTGTTAATGAATGCTGTGATCGCAGCGGCCAATAGGAGTAAGGAGATGTCCAAATGAACATCAGAAGTGTCTAAATGAGGCGCCTCAATGTGTGGTTTGCAGTGCAGTAATTACTCATGAAAAACTGTTGCTGCAGTAGCCAAAAAATGACCTTTGAGCTGATTAAGTGAATAATCGTGACGTTCTGTTACCGGTATGAGGGTGAAAGAATTCGAAAGGTGGTGCAGGAGACTAGGTATAGAATCTGCAGACACAAGTATTTGAAGAAATAGAAAGTCTCAAAACTGAATAATGATTAGAATAGGAGAGTACAAGGTAATATAAGCTAGGGAGTTGTACCCTCTAAGGCACAAACCTGCATAGTCTACAATAACATACTAAGATAAGTTTGACACACCCCCTAGACTACATAGGGCAGTGCCTAACATGAGAACAAGCAGCTCAGGGCGGCACTACTAGTCCAGCCTCTGATGCAAGGGTCTAAAGACCAGTCAATAGGAGTACAGACAAAACAGGAGCAAGACCAGGGCGGCACTACTAATCCAACCACTGGGAGAAGCCACAAGGCCAGTCTGGGTAATACATATATATAATGTCTGTACGCAGTCAAGGTCCTAGCAAGTGCGAGGCAACAGGAACAAGACCAAGCTGTAAGCAGTGCCGCTGATGTTCTTTAGTCGCAAGCGCCTTCGTAAAGATATCAGCTGTGTTGGCACCTGAGGCCAAGTGTACTACACGAGCCTGGCGACGCCGCCGTAGCTCGCGCAGGAGGAAGTACCGCAGTTGGATGTGCTTCGCTCTGCCCTCAAGTCAAGGCTCCTGACACAAGAGGACCATGGCCCTGTTGTCAGCGTACAGGACCGGGGCAGAGCTAGGCCGCTCACCTAAGTCAGTGAGCAAGAGGGTAAGCCAGCGGAGCTCCTGTGCCGCCATGGCACCGGCGTAGATCTCGGCCTCACAGCTGGACTGGGCAACAGACGAAGAGCGAGTAGCTCTCCACGAGACAGCACTTGAGCCAAGACTGAAGCAGTAACCCTGTGAGGACCTAAGGGTCTCGGCGTCGTCTGCCCAAGAAGCGTCTGTGTGCCCAGTAAGGACCACTTGCCTGCGTCCTCGCAGCACTAACCCCAAGCCTGATGTACTCGCGAGATAACGCAAAACCCT